CTACTACTACTACTACTACTACTACTACTACTACTACTACTACTACTACTACTACTACTAAACTACTACTACTACTACTACTACTACTACTACTACTACTACTACTACTACTACTACTACTACTACTACTACTACTACTACTACGACTACTACTACTACTACTACTACTGCTACTACTACTACTACTACTACTACTACTACTACTACTACTACGATTACTACTACTACTACTACTACTACTACTACTACGCCCCCTAAGTCATCGTGCCTCCTCCTCCGCCTCTCCCTCCTCCTGGGCCAGCAGGCACGGAAGAGGATACGAAGGGGATGTGAAGGGTATGGTATGGAGGGGAGGAAGCGTTACCTGAGCGAGGGACACCCCAAGAAACAATTATCCTGGCGAAAGACCCATACATGCGCAATAACTTTCGGTGGAACTCCCTCTGGGGCCACGAACCGTGTGAAAGATGTGCCGGAATGGGGCGGCGGTGCCATGCGGACCCTGCCACTGGGGCCTTCGGTGGAGCTCCCTGTGGGGCCACGAACCGTGTGAGGGGTGTGCCGAAATGGGGCGGTGGGGCCATGCGGACTCTGCCACTGGAGCATTCGGTGGAGCTCCCGAAAGTGACACTAACCGCGTGACGGGTGTGCCGAAATGGGGCGGCGGTGCCATGCGGACCCTGCCACTGGGGCATTCGGTGGAGCTCCCTGTGGGGCCACGAACTGTGTGAGAGGTGTGCCGAAATGGGGCGGCGGTGCCATGCGGACCCTGCCACTGGGGCATTCGGTGGAGCTCCCTATGGGGCCACGAACCGTGTGAGGGGTGTGCCCAAATGGGGCGGCGGTGCCATGCGGACCCTGGCCATGAACCGTATGAAAGGTGTTCCAAAATAGGGCGGCAATGCCCTGCGGACCCTGCCAATGGTGCCTTCGGTGGAGCTTCCTATGGGGTCACGAACCGTGTGAGGTGTGCGCCAAAATGGGGCGGCAGTGCCCTGCGGGCCTTGCCAATGGTGCCTTCGGTGGAGCTCCCTATGGGGCCACGAACCGTATGAGGGGTGTGCCGAGATGGGGCGGCAATGACATGCGGACCCTACCACTGGGGCCTTCGGTGGAACTCCCTATGGGGCCACGAACCGTATGAGGGGTGTGCCGAAATGGGGCGGCGGTGCCATGCGGGCCCTATTACTGGGGCCTTCGGTGGGCTCCCTATGGGGCCACGAACCGCGTAATGGATGTGCCGAAATGGGGCGGCGGTGCCATGCGGGCCCTATCACTGGGGCATTCGGTGGAGCTCCCCATGGGGCCACGAGCCGTGGGAAGGGTGTGCCGAAATGGGGCGGCGGTGCCATGCGGACCCTATCACTGGGGCCTTCGGTGGAACTCCCCATGTGGCCACGAGCCGTGTGAAGGGTATGCCGAAATGGGGCGGCGGTGCCATGCGGACCCTGCCACTGAGGGCTTCGGTGGAGCTCCTTATGGGGCCGCGAACCGTGTGAAGGGTGTGCCGAAATGGGGCGGCGGTGACATGCGAACCCTGCCACGTGGGCGTTCAGAGGAGATCCATATGGGGCCACGAACCGTGTGATGGGGGGCCACGAACCGTGTGATGGGTGTGCCGAAATGCGGATGATGATGACGATGACCATGATGACGACGATGATGATGACAATGATGATGACGATGATGATGATGACGACGACTATGATGATGGGAGGAGGGATGGGGAGAGGGAGGGGCGGAGGAGGAGGAAGAGGAGGAGAAGAAGGAGCAGGAGGAAGAGGAGGAGGAGGAGAAGAGAAGAACGCGGGGCGCTGTCTCTTCAAAACGAGGACCCAACACCACAGGATGGTTGGGAACAAGAACGAGTGGGCCAACGAGTGGTCTCAGAACAGTGCCGGGGCGTTATCGATACCGATTCGGCTTGGGGAGGACAAGGAGGAGGAAGAGAAGGAGGAGGAGGAGTAGGAGGAGGGGGAGGAGGAGGAGGAGGAGGAGGAGGAGGAGGAGGAGGAGGAGGAGGAGGAGGAGGAGGGAGGAGGAGGAGGAGGAGGAGGGGAAGGAGGAGGGGGAGGAGGAGGAGGAGGAGGTGGAGGAGGAGGAGGACGACGAAGGACGGGAAGGAGGAGGAGGAGGAGGAGGAGGACAAGTGGACCAGTGGAAACCCAAGAGTCATCAACGGTGTTGGAATTAACCCTCCCTCCAAGTTCCCTCTTGATAGGCCCCTACACCAGTTCACTTCCATTGAGGGAACTGCCCCGCTGGAAGACAACAGTTTGAAGATCCTGAAGCGTGCCAAAACATTCTTCTCTGGATTTCAACGCCACGTATCAACCTGACTGCTGCGTCTTGACGATCCAGAACCGTGCCAGAACGCCATGTTTGGGAATTCAGCACAGCGAATCAACACAACTCTTGCGCCCGCATTATCCTGAATCCGTCCAAAACACCGTTTCTGGTACGCTGATCATGGGAATCCGTGAAATTCTTGTAGACGTTTACAAAGAATTCACGCGACGCTAAGAGAGAACCAAATTCTGAAAAGGAACCGCCTTCAATCCGTCAAGCTCTTCTGTTGAAAACGCGGCGCTAAGGCGAGAGCCACATTCTGAAAACCACCCGCCCTCAATCCGTGAAACTCTTGCAATGTTTTTAAACGAATGTGCTCGGCACTAAGGCGAGAGCCACATTTTGAAAACCACCCGTCCTCAACCCGTGAAACTCTTGCAAATGTTTACGAAAGAATGTGCGCGGCGCTAATTCGAGAGCCACATTCTGAAAACGACCCGCCCTCAATCCGTGAAACTCTTGCTTTGTTTGAAAACGAATGTGCGCGGCGCCCGCATCAATGCCTCCTCCGTCCATGTTTCCCTCCACCACACCCCCGTCCACGCCCTCCCACATCCATGTCCTCCCGCATCCTCCCCCTATCCGCGTCCTCCTCCACAAGCGGGCGGGCGAGAGAACCCCCCTCCCGCACTGCCTGCCTCTCGCCAGCAAGCCCGCGCCTACACAAAATAAGAAGCAGTGTGCAAATAAACATTTGGAGCATGAACATCAGGCTTTGCCCTCTCCACCCGCCCCCGGCCGCGAGGCGGCCTGGTTGCCCGTGCTGTACAAAAACAACGGCCCATGCTTGCGGTCGGGGATGGTCACCTCTTGCCCGGGCGCTCGCAGAGCATACAGCCAAGACGCTGAAATATGACCGAGTTGGGCTCAGCAGGGACATCGACACCAGCAGTGCAGAGACATGCTCGCGCTCAGGCACCGCGGACGGTGTGCGGCAAGCGGAGAGGCAGCAAAATCACGACAAAAGCACGACAGGTGGGACGCAGAAGGACACACCAGTACTGTGCGTCCCCCTTGGAGGAGCACGTCCGAGCCGAACGTGCAGCACAGGCATCTGACAGTGTATCGCTGCGCTGGCGGTGTGGCCAGAAAGCGCCCGCCACCGAGCACACACACACCACGAGACTGCCGAGCGCGCGTCGCCCCAGGGGGTGCAGAAGCCCGCCTCTAGTGTGCAGGTGTGCACGGGTGGTGCGGAGAGGCAGGGGCCCTGTGATGGGCAGGGCCGTCCACGGCAGCGGCACAACCGAAAAGCGCCCGAATCGGCAGCGAGGCCGCGGCCACTCGAAACGTGGAGGCCGCAGGCAGCCTCCGGCTGGTTCCTATCGTGGCGACCACGACGTTGAGCTCTGAAACCACGTGGATCGTTCACGATCTGCGGCTTTCAACCAGCAGGTGGTTCCATATTGGCCGATTCTGGGCCACTGGCGGCGTTCAACCTTGAACGCCTGCGCTGCAAGCAAGATAGCAACGACACAAAAGACGACCCACCCGAACCAAACGAATGCAACCTACTGGGACGCAGCCGAACCGACCGACGCGCGGACACCCTTGCGGCAAGACCATGGCAAGTATTAGTTGACAAGTCTCTGCCTTCGGGCCGCTTTCGGGCCCAGGGACGCATCAAAAGAGGAACCCGCGGCGAGAGAAAAGCCAGAGCTACGGGGACACAAGCATGAAGAAAACGTGACGGCGCAGGTCTGGGTCCTGGCGCTGGCAAAAATGGGCCCGGCCCGTGGGCTCCCCCCGGGCTGCCCAGGAGGGCCCCCTGTGGCCCCAGAGGGCCCCCGACGCGGCCGAGAGAGGACGCCCGAGGCTCCCGGGCCCGGGTGCCGGGGGCGCCTTGGGCCAGGGACGCGTGTGCAGATACGGTGAGGGCCTCGAGTGAGGGACCACTGGACAGGGACGCCAGGGTTCGGAAGCCGGTGAAACTCCAGTCGTGGACTGGCTACGTATGGATGTCGCCGCCGCCAAAATCGGACAAAGACTCCTCCAGGGTCTGGCGCCTCTTGGGCGTCTTCCTTTGCCAACGCCCCCAACGTACCCGGGTCCACGGCCCATCGTTTCACCCACCTGTCCAATCTCCCCCTATGCCCCCCTCCCCAACGGGAACGAGGGGGAGAGAAACTTCGCATGACTTCGCAGCGCGTCCTGCTGGGCTGCCAAAGCGCAAAGTATCTCGATTACCCCTGTGGCAATGTCGACCCCAGGCCAAAGAAAGGGAAGACGGTGGGCATCCAAGACACCGCAGCGCGTACCTCGCTGAGCGCATCCGCAGCGTTAGCTAACTTACCGAACCCCAACGACTGAACCCGTCGAAACGTACCATGGATGCGAATCGGTTTAGCAGGCCAAAGGGGGGTCCCCCACCGAGGACCCCGAAAGGGAGACGGGTCAGGGAAGACGACACAACGCCTCGACATGACAAACATGACACCTGGCGCGTCGAACAACTGCTGCAATACCAAGATGCAGTCACATCGCACGTGGTGCAACACAACGAATGCAACACAGCAACATGCGAAAGATAGGACTGAGACGAGGGGCAGAGATGATGGCTGTGAACAACCCCACCTCGGGGTATAAGCAGCAGCCTTGACCCCCCAGCTAAACCCAGCAAGAAGCAAATCAGCTGGAGGCAGCTTGACCATAGTGAATAAATCGGCGACTTGTCTGCGCGCACCGAAGCACCCGAGCGTGGTCAGTCGCCATTTCGCCCGCACGACTGGGAGCGCCCAGGACGCTTCGACCGTCCTCGACAGGGTCATCGGGTGGAGTAGCCCTCAGGAGCTCACAGGAAGTCGGATGTCGGGATGGCGGCTGGTCCGAACCTTGTCCTGGCGAAAGACCCAACCATGCGCAATTGTGAATACCGCGTTGCGGGTACCGGTTTCGGTGGAGCCCCATATGAGGCCACGAACGTGTAAGGGGTGTGCCGACATGGGCGTCGGGCGCATGCGGACCCTGCCACTGGGGTTTTCGGTGGAGCTCCCTGTGGGGCCACGAACCATGTGAGGGGTCCGCCACAATGACTGGCGGTCCCCGCATGCTGACCTTGCCACTGGGGCCTTCGGCGGAGCTCCCTATGGGGCCACGAACCATGTGAGGAGTGCGCCGACAACGGGCGGCGCCGCCACACTGACCCTGCCACTGGGGTTTTCGGTGGAGCTCCCAATGGGGCCACGAACCGTGCGAAGGGTGCGTCGACATGGGTGGCGGTCCCCACGTGCGGACCCTGTCGCTGGGGTCTTCGGTGGAACTCCCTGCGGGGCGACGATCCTCGTGAGGGGTAAAAATGGGCGGCGGTCCCGCACGAGGACCCTGCCAATGGGGCGTTCGGTGGTTCCCCCACGCACCGCGTGAGGGGTGTGCCAATGGGCGCTGCGCCGCCACGCTGGCCTTGCCACCGGCGCCTTCGGTGGAGCTCCCTATGGGGCCACGAACCGTGTGAGGGGTGCGTCGACATGGGGCGGCGCCGCCATGTGAAGCATGCCACCAGGGCCTTCGGTGAAGATCCCTACGGGGCCACGAACCGAGTGAGGGGTGCGCCAAAATGGCGCGGCGCCGCCATGTGGATCCTGCCACTTGGGCCTTCGGTGGAACTCCTTAGGAACTCCCTATGGGGCCACGAACCGTGTGAGGGGTGTGCCGAAATGGGGCGGCGCCGCCATGTGGACCCTGCCACTGGGGCCTTCGGTGGAACTCCCTATGGGGCCACGAGCCGTGTGAGGGGTGCGCCAAAATGGAGCGGCGCCGCCACGTGGACCCTGACACTGGGGCCTTCGGTGGAACTCCCTACAGGGCCACGAACCGTGTGAAAGGTGTGCCTAAACGGGTTGCGGTCCCCGCATGCGGACCCGACCACAAGTGTCATCGGGCTGATAGTTATTTTTAATCATGTGGTGTGCCTATTAGCTTCGATTAGCTGCTATCAGCTTCTACCAGGTCCTACTAAGCCTGCCTATTGGCCCGCCAACTATTTGATCAGCGAGCGACGCGCCGGTGCCGCCAGCCCTCGGGCCGCCTCGCGGGGCGCTCTGGGACGCTCATAAAAACCGCGAAACAGGAGCGCGTTCACCGCGCTCGGGCGGGCTGCTCGCAGAAAGCTGAGGGCGCAAGCCGCGCTGACGACAGCGCAGCCGCGAGGAAGGGGGGAAAGGAGGACGAGGGGGAGGAGCGCGATGGCGCTATGGCGGAAGCGCGGCGCCCGAGTGCTCGCTCGGCCGCCCCAGCCACGCCGCAGGACGGCGGGGCTCGACCGCGGTGAACCTCGACGAACCTGCCATCTGTCCTTCGGCGAACCTGCCATCCAGGACTACATCGATGCTAGTTACGCCGCTCTGACAGAGGACTTGGACATGATGAAATCGAACGCTTCCACCAGCAAGGCCCGTGGCAAGCCTCTGGCTCCTGTCACGGACGGAGAGTGGCTCGAGTGGATGGACGAACATTGCGTTCAGAACAGCAACGCAGGAGAGAGGAGCAATTGGTTCCGGACCGCGCGGTGCCAACAGAGCTGCTTGCCCTCCACCTCGTCCTCTTCCTTATCCTATCCACCTCGTCCTCACATATCCTCCGATGCCCTCCCCCCAGTCGTCCTCTGCCTCCTCCTCCCCCTCCTGCTCCTCTCGTCGTCGTCGTCGTCCTCTTTCTCTCCATCCCTTCTCCCTCGCTGGCCCTCGAGTTCCCCTGTGCCCGGCCGCCAAGACAGAGTGCGCGAGCCCAGCAGGCGTTTAGAGCCCTGCCCCGCGCTGGAGAGCGATGCGTCGCCTTGGCAGGACAAAGTTCGGTCGCAGTCCCCAGGTTTTTTCGGCGTGGCCACGCCGCAGACGAGGGAGGAGAAGGACGCGGGGCGTCGGCCGAGGACGTGGATTTTCGTCCACGCTGCCACAGGCCGCGCGCCCTCGCCTTTTACCCCGCGCGCCTCCTTTGACACCCTGACGCTTTCACGCCCTGACAAACCTAACACCTTAACTCTCCCCCGCCGCCCTCCTCAGACAAGGCGAGTTGGGTGTTCGGCCTCAGCGGCGAGCGTCGCCGCCGCCATCTGCCCACAGCTTGTCGTTTTGAGCGTCTCCGTACTTACTGCTCGCAGGTTGGATTGCCAGTGGAATCTGAGCACCAGGCATTACGCCGACACTTCCTCGACCCCTCGACGGTTGCAACACATATCCAAAAATTGGATGGGCATTCTCCAAGGGTAACCGTGCATCCTCATCGTGCACCGTCATGTTTTCGGGTGCGGACCCTTCGAAACGGGCCAACACGGCCTTGCAATGCACTTGCATCCTGATGGAGGCGGGGCGAAGGTGGAGGGAGGCCGATGACTAGCACGAATCAGCGGCACCCCTGGTTGCGCCTATGCCCAGCGAGTCGGCTCTGGAAGTTGACGCTGAGTACGCAGGGGATGTCGACCATTCCTCGGGCAGTTCTCCTGAGAATCGAAGGGGCGAAGCCCGCCCCCGCGCCCGCGCGCCCGCCTCGGCGGCGCGAAGCCAGAGAGTCCGATGGAGAGGAACGCGTCTCCGACGGCCTTCGCCGCGCCCGAGGTGGTCGCAGTCGCGCGGATCTCGGGGAGAGCCCCTCAGAGTCGGATGTTCCTTCCGTGGTGTCCGCGGTGGACGCTGAGCCGGACGGCGGCGGGGGGGGGCCCGACGGCGCCGAGGGCGCCCCCGACCCCCCGCGACGGCGGAGACCAGGCTCCCGGCGAGGAGGCAGCCCCTGAGGGCGACGATGCCCTTGCGCGTGCACCGCGCGGGAAACGCGCTGCCTGGCATACGCAGTACTTCACGCTCAGGGACGACAAG